TGGAACTTGCTAAGTAGCTAGGGAAATAAGTGTAGTTAGTGATATTAGTGTGTCTGGGACACAAGACAAGGATATTTATTTGTACTTTCTGGTGCCGTTTGTGATAATAAAACACTCAGTTCATTTCTATTAATGCTTACAGTCCTCTACTAAATTGGCACGGTTGATACTAAGTCTCTCCCTTGACTGTAACAACGACTATATGAATACACAATTACTGAATTTCAGTTGATTTTTTGATGCTAGCCAGTAAAATCAACCTAGTCGGCTAAGTCGGCTAATTTATAAAAAAAGACGCATAGTCAAGCCAGCTAAATAAAACTCAAAAATGTGTATAAAAGTTTCAGATGAATTCGGATTATCTGAAATTTGGATAATTTAATAATCAAACACAAAAACTAGTGTAAGTACTAGAAATAATTCAGAATCCAATTTTATCTACATATTGTTATAAAGTATTTAACTTCACATAGCTGGCTAAATTCCATCGTAGTGATAAAGTTGATAAAAATCATTAGTTTGTTAAAACTAGATTACGAAGCCATATACTAGTTTTATTATAAATCAAAATTTCTTAACATATATTTGAATCTTGCGTATAATTTTTAAACTCCTTATAATACATCTAAGAACCTTGTTTTATTAATCCAACCCATAATAAATTTGGTTAAATATACTATCATTATTACTCTTTATTTTTAAATTACTGAATAATATAGGTTGCACGAAGCTCCACCTATTATGCTAGTTACATTAAAGAAAAACCTATCTAATAATGATTCAATAACAAAAGAATGCAACATAAAACTATAAAGTGTATATAATTTAAAATATTTTTAAGATTTCGATCTTATGCCATTTTATAATAATAATACTAAAGTAAGATTAATTTATTGGTACTGCAATTTTAATTTCTAAATCCATGTTATAGTCATCATATGAAATTTCTAACCTAACTACGTCATGGTTACTTAAGTTGTGAGATTGATAATTAGGATAATAAATAAAATTACTCAAAACAGAATTAATCTCCATCAACGTTGGATTATGAATTATTACAGAAGTGCTTTTTCCCCGACCCCTTCCACTTGGATCGAACGACAACATGCCATATTGAGTCTTTGCCCTAATTTCTACTTGATGTACATGTTCTAACTTACCATGTACACGAATCACATCTAAACCTTCAAAACGGCCATTTGCGGATACTATTTGATTTAGTTGATCAGTTATATTTGAAAAATTATATTGATATTTCGTTGGTCCTTGTAAAGTTAATTTTGTATCTGATACGCTTAAAGAAAACTTTTTAAAAGCCGTAGCAAGTACACTTTCATCATCAATTTTAGACGATTCTGTAGCGTGATTAAACCAATGAATAGACCATGATGAAAGCGATAAGTTGTAAAGTTTTTCAAGTGGCGCTTCATGTCGATTTATTAATTCGACGGTTGTAAAATAGTGATATGGAAAATGAAAATAAACAGGAAGCAAATGAATGCCAGATTTATCTATTAGAGTGCGATGCTCTTTAACAAACTTTGTTAAAACAATAGGGCCCACACAAGTGATACAATTAGGATCATAACCTTCAGAGTATACCTTTTCCATCATATCTTTAAACATTCGTCGTAATCTACGTAGACGCATATTACAATTTTCTATATATTCAACACCTTCTAGATTCCAATCCACAAACGTTTCGGTATGGTCAATAGCTAAATATTCATTTTTAACATCAGTTGGTTTGCGCAACCAAAGAACATCCATATCCATATAAGTGCCACCATAAATATATATTACTACAGTTCGTAAGTAGTCAGAAAGATGTAAATTAAAAAATTCTCCACCTTCCCAATTACTTAAATTCTGAATCCAATTTTTTGTTTTTTCACCAAAATACCATTGTCTTTTTAGCATTAAATCATTATTAAATTGAATTATATAAATTTGATAACCCAGTTTTTTATATTCATCAAAAAAGTCCATGGGAAGAGTATTTGATAATACTATGATAATTGCTTTCGGTATATGCACAAAAACAGACTCAATAGCTTTATAGTGTCGATCATGGAAAGTAGATTTATCAGATAACCATATGAGCCAATGTAATAAATACCATTGTTCTGTATCAGAATAAATTGAAGATTTGTGTGATAAAAGACCCGGAATTATCCAATCGTCATCATTTTTTCCCATTGTAGTATTCGACGGTTCATCAAATGCAGCAATGAAATCTTTTGGGCCACTTGATCGCAATAAAGTGACACCTGCTACATGGTCACAATCAAAATTCCAATCTCTTTGATGCCTTTCTTTTCCTAAGCATGAGTAACATAATGCACAAAACTTTTGCTCTGAACCTTGGCACATTCTTTCATTTTTTATAATGTTTGAATACATAAACTCAGCATTTCGTTTAAGCTCGTTAAAATCATTAAACTTAATAGAAATCATACTATCTTCGCACACATTTGCAGGTTGAATACGCTTATCATGGATTGGATTGATATCGTGAGCAA